GAAAACAAAGCAGCATTCAGTATTTCTAGGTCAAACGCAGTCAATCAAATCAATCGATCAATTGCTTGCATTCTAATCAAACTCTCCACATCAACGCGTGACTTCACAATGTTAAGCCTCTTAAGAGAAGGTCAGATTTTGTTCTCCCATTAGAATATTACCGAATTATGGCCAAAAACATGGAGCATTAAGTGTTGGAGGGAACAAAGCTTTTTTCATTGATTTGAATCAAAGTGTTATGGTCTATACCAGGGATGTCAAACTCAATTCCTGGCGGGGCGCAGCCCTGCACTGTTTAGTTCCAACCCTGCTTCAACACACTTACTGGTAGGTTTCAAACAAGCCAGAAGGACTCAATTAGTTTGATCAGGTGTGTTTGCTTAGGGTTGGAACTAAACTGTGCAGAGCTGTGGCCCCTTAGGAATTAAGTTTGACATCCCTGGTCTAAAAGGACGTTCAAAAAAATAATAATAATGCAACTTGACTACTTTCTAGTGGACTTTTAGGCTATGCTTTTATGTGCAAAAGTAACTGTTTTCAAACAGGTTTCCTAAACTACCAGTCAGTCAAACAGAAAGTCTGCCTCAAATTGATACTAATGGTTAAAGGTGCAGTAGGTGATCTGCCAAATAGCTAACCGCTTAGCATATTATCTTTGGACGGCGGGGAGGGACTGTGATTCAAAGCCACACTCCCTGAAATAGCGAGCGCGTGCGCACCGCGTCACAACAGCAGACAGACAACCCAGTAGTTCATTAGTTCATTTTTCGTTTTAATTTTTTTTTTACTAAAAGCATAGTTAATAACTAAAAGCATCCCAACATTTGTGAGTAAATGGTGAATAAATTTTAATTCCTGGGTGAACTATTCCTTTAACTAGCAACTGGAGAAAATATTTACATAAATAAACCACAATCTTCAGCTTTAAACAATGCAAAACCAGTCCAAGATGTTCAGTAGGTAAGGAAAATGTACCATTAAAAGTTAAACATCACGGCAGATGGCTAGATTTGTCAAATTATTAAGAAATAAGCTGTATAGAAAAGTGTGTTCTTGAAAGAAAAATCTGAGAAAGGAGCAAAGTCAAGAGTGAAAACTGTAAGGCATGCCCAAGCCTGCTGGTCAATCTCTCTGAATTTAAATACTCAGTACTGTAAATACTCCATAATAACACTATAATTAATATACCTAAATAACAGGTTACACTGTCAGCACACATTATTTATAATATAACCATCTTAAACATTTGTTAAAGGCATAGTTCACCCAACAATTATAATTCTGTCATCATTTACTCACTCTTCACTTGTTGGTTTTGGTTTCATTCGTCTATCGAACACAAGGATATACCTAAGAATGCCATTGACTTCCATAGAAGTTTTTGTTCCAACTATGAAAATCAATGACTGCTTTTCCAACAGTCTTCAGAATATCTTGCTTTGCGTTTCTTCAACAGAAGAAAGAACTTTATGTTTAGAACCGCTTGAATGTGAGTAAATGGTGAATAAATTCTAATTCCTGAATGAACTCCCTACAGAAAAATCCAGCTTAAACCAGCCTAGGCTGGTTGGCTGGTTTTAGCTGGTTGACCAGGCTGGTTTTAGAGGGGTTTTGGCCATTTCCAGGCTGGTTTCCAGCCATTTCCAGCCTGGTCTTAGCTGGTCAGGCTGGAAAATGACCAGCCAAATCCAGCTAAAACCAGCTTGACCAGCCTGGTTTAAGCTGGATATAGCTGGTTTTGGCTGGACTCCCTTGGCTAGGCTGGTCAAGCTGGTTTTAGCTGGTCATCTCCCAGCCTGACCAGCTAAGACCAGGCTGGAAATGGCTGGAAACCAGCCTGGAAGTGGCCAAAACCCCTCTAAAACCAGCCTGGTCGACCAGCTAAAACCAGCCAACCAGCTTAGGCTGGTTTAAGCTGGATTTTTCAGCAGGGCTATCCCTTTAACCAGCGACAGGAGAAATTATTTACAGAAATAAACCACAATTTCCAGCTTTAAACGATGTAAAACCAGACCAAGATGTTCAGTAGGTTAAAAAATGTACCATTAAATGTTAAAAATCATGGCAGACAGCTAGATTTGTTAAATCTTAAAGAAATATGCCGTATAGCTGTAGAATTAAATAGTGTAATCTTGGGAAAAAAAATCTGAGAAAGCAGCAAAATCAAGAGTGAAAACAGTAAAGCATGCCCAAGCCTGTTGGTCAATCTCTCTGAATTTAAAGACTCAATACTTTAAATACTCAATAATAACACTATATTAAATAAATCTAAATAATAGATTATACTGTCAGCGTACATTAGTTATAATATAACCATCTTAAAGCATTTGTTAAAGTGATAGTTCACCAAAGAAGGAACATTCTGTCATCATTTACTCACTCTTCACTTGCTGGTTTTGGTTTCTTTCCTCTATTAAACACAAAGATATACCTAAGAATGCCAAGACTTCCAGAGAATTTTTTGTTCCAACTAGGCATGGGACGATAACGGTGTTCAAGGTATACTGCGGCCTGGAGAAGTCGGGGTTTTAAAAGTGTCAAAATTTAGAGCAGTAATCACAATACTGTGATACCGTGAAACTGTGATATTTAGTTTATCATACCGTCATAATCTGATACCAGCCCATGCTAAGTTCCAACTATGGAAATTAATGGCTGCTTTTTTCCCAGCCATCTTCAGAGTATCTTGTTTTGCGTTTCATCAACATCAGAAATAAATTCATAAATGTTTAGAGCCGCTTGAGCATGAGCAAATGACAAGAAGCTCTTCATTTTTGCGTGAACTATGCCTTTAAAAGGAGGATGATAAATGATTCGTTTTGGACCCATTCTTTATGGCTAAAAAAAAAAAATGGGAGGATGGGAAAAGTGACGGGATAAAAAAAAAAGGCTGATGGTAAAGAGAAGATTTGCATGCTGAAGAATACATACCCTGTTTGGCTACAATCTCGATAGGGCAGGACAGAAAAAACACTATAGAAGGATCTTCTGCCACTGATAAGGACTATCCTATAAAGACAAAATGATACATGGACTAATTTAAATGAACTCTGTCAAAATAGAGGACAGGACCATAGGCAAAGATGGAGAGATACACAATATGAAATAGTATGTCATATATTATGTGGGAAAAAAAAACAAAAAGATCAGGAAAAAAAAAAAGAGAAGAAAATCGCCTGTCAAAACATTGTTTGAAGTAAATGAAAACCTGCCGGAGACCACTGAGAAACTGAACATGACAACAAGCAAACATATTTGCCTTTTAAGTTCATATATTTCCCTCAGAAGTTCATCAAGTGATATAAAGCACAAGATAAACACAATGTCGGATCAAAGTAGCAAGAAAATAGTCGTGTTTTTTTTCTGCTCGCTGACACAAACACTGCCGTTTGCAATGACTTCATGGGAAGACTGCAAATCTGTGTATTTTCTCAACAGCCTAAAAGAAAAGCAATGCTGGTCACGACCTCTCGCTTCCCAAGATGAAAGACGGCATCTGACAAACAGTCTTATCATCAATTATTCAAAGAGGTAATAATAATAAATATGCACTAATAACAGGCCTCAGATGTTTAGGTTTCTGCTCCTTTGAGCTTCTGCTATTAACTTAAAAGACCAAAGGGTCATTAGGGATAAAATATATTGCACACACACACACACACACACACACATACAGTTAAAGTCAGAATTATTAGCCCCCTTTTGATTTTTATTTTATTTTTTAAATATTTCCCAAATCATGTTTAACAGAGCAATGAAATTTTCACAGTATGTCTGATAATATTTTTTCTTCCATAGGAAGTCTTATTTGTTTTATTTCGGCTAGAATAAAAGCAGTTATTAATTTTTTAAAAACTATTTTTGGGACAAAATTATTAGCCCCTTTAAGCTATTTTTTCGATAGTCTACAGAACAAACCATCATTATACAATAACTTGCTTAATTACACTAACCTGCCTAGTTCACCTTTTTAACCTAGTTAAGCCTTTAAATGTCACTTTAAGCTGTATAGAAGTGTCTTAAAAAATATCAAGTAAAATATTATTTACTGTCTTCATGGCAAAGATAAAATAAATCAGTTATTAGAAATAAGTTTTTAAAACTATTATGCTTAGGAATGTGCTGAAACAATCTTCCCTCCGTTAAACAGAAATTGGGGAAAAAATAAAAAGGGGCGCTAATAATTCAGGGGGGCTAATAATTCTGACTTCAACTGTACTTGTAAATGTGGTTTACGAGTACTATTTATATGCGTAATGCAATTTATTTTGTAAAGGAAAGCTTATTATATTATCTTACCTCTAGAAAAAATCTGCCACTTTTCCAAATGATCAACCAGAAGTCGAGTTATTATTTGTCGCTCTAACATGACTTTTGTCAGGCAGTGTACAAGTGAGGACGTTACATAGACATCCCTTATTTTTATGGTCTAAATCCATCCCTCACAGAAAACTGTGCCAATATTTAGATGCTACTAATCATGTTTAGGCCAATTTATAAGCCTTTTCAATTAGTGGTGACCAGCAAAATGTCATTTTGTAAACAAGAATACTTGCAGATTACATCTTACTATATACTGTAACTGAGGACAATCGATTGAGTCCTCATAAGGCCTGCTAAACCTGTACACACACAAACACACACAAATGCACATTATGTCCTTTTTCAGAATCTACAACCTCAAGTGGTCTTGTTTTAAAACCAAAATAAACAAAAAAAAAAAGTAATGTTTCCAAATGGTTTGGTGGACACATCTAATGCTGGGAAAATTCCATTAAAATGTAAATAAGGAGTTAAAATTAAAAGAACTTGATTAAAATTAATAAAAAAAAATAAAAAAAAATATAAATGCATATAATTAAACACAAAAACAAATCAGCAGAACCAGGGAAAGTCTTTAAATAAATTGCGCGGGTGTTTTTTGCTGACACACTGGTTTGGTGTGGGTGCTGTTCTCTGAGAGTCTGTGTGTGGGTTGTTGGGTTTGATGTAATGCATACCTTCCATTGCGCATATCATGCTGTCTTATGTTTTTAATGAAGTGGACCTTCTTGAAACTCTTTGGTCGGGGTGAACCGGATAAAGTTCGGCATCTAGATCAAACAAAGCAGCATAATTACATTTCGCTAAGGAAAAGAACACTTCATATGGCAATTGAGATCATGCGAATGCAACAATACTAACTGCAACATTGCACAGCATATCAACATATGTAAACAGTCGGAGTAGACCCAAGACATAAGCAAACTAATGCCGAGTTCAGACTTCACAATTTTCATAGTTGTGTCACGGATGTTTTCACACTGTATAACTATCTGGAGTAGCGTTCAGTCGGTGCTGTGTTTAAATTGCGAGATGGATCAGAGACAGGGACTTTCACATAGCATGACGTTAAAATAGGAAGAATCGCCGACAACTTTGCCTAAACTACATTTCACAACAAAACACACGCAAGAAGTGACATAGAAACAACGTGAGGTCACACAGTTTATCTTTTGTTATTAGTAGTTCCCAACTTTTTTTTTTTTTTGCCTAAGACTCCCTTTTCCTCTGGAAAATATTGTAAGACCCCCCTCCACATTTAATAATAATATCGCTCATATAAAGTTTGCATTAGGGATGACAAAAAAAGATTGTTTTCAAACAAACGATATGTTTATTGCAATATCTAGATATGTTTATGCACAAATAATAGCCTAATGTAAAATATAAAAGCAAAACATCCGTAGGCCATTTGTATTGGATGCCACTTGTGGTATTGGGGATGAGTCAATTCAATTTAACTCAATTCAGCTTTATTTGTATAGCGCTTTTACAATGTAGATTGTGTCAAAGCAGCTTCACATAAATGGTCATAGTAACTGGATCAGGGTAGTTCAGTTTTTAGTGTTTAAGTTCAGTTCAGTTTAGCTCAGTTCAGTGTGGTTTGAAATCATTACTGAGAGTCCAACACTGAAGAGCAAATTCATCGATGCGTAGCTCTACCCATCCTGAACCATGCAAGACAGTGGCGACAGCGGAGAGGGAAAAAAAAAAACTTCACCAATAGAAGAGTGAAGAAAAAAAAACCTTGAGAGAAGTCGTCTGCAAATATCTTGTCTATTTGGACAGCCTCATGCAAACTTTGGGGCAGATAATGCACTTTGGCTAGATCAGGGACAGGGATAGTTCCGTTAACTATCTTGGTATTTCCTACATTTCGTGTTTCCAGTATGAAGCCAGATCAATCTCAAAAATATAACATTTACAAAACAAAATTCATACATGCACGGCACAATTCACATTAACAAAATTCAATTTGTAAATTCAAAACACAATTCATAAAACTCAATTGGTGAAATCAAAAGTAAAAATCATGAATATTTTCACCAAATGAATTGAATTTGTGTATTTTATAACCATGTTTTGAATTTACAAATTGAATTTGTGTATTTACGAATTGTGTTTTCAATTTATAAATTGGATTTATGTATATAAAAATCGTATTTTAAATATACGAATTGGATTTGTGTATTTACGAATTGTGTTTTCAATTAATGAATTGGACTTATGTATTTAAAAATCGTGTTTTGAACATACAAACTTGATTTGTGTATTTACGAATCGCGTTTTGAATTACAAATAAAAAAATTTTTAAATGTGAATTGTGTTGTGGATGTATAAATTATATTTTGTAAATGTATTACTTTTGAGACTCATCGGCGATTCTCTCAGATCGCATCTTTGGTAGTTCACACTGTGTGATTGTCACTCACGTAAACGAGCACCGATTTGCCTGTGATTTCAGGAATTTGTTGGCGATTTCTCAAAACCTGTCGGCGAGTCAAACTCAGGGCTAAAATCATGCAGTCTGAACATGGCATAAATGCTGCTTAGGGCTGCGTAGCCACCAAGGGGCCCCCAAGAGTGATGAAAAAAAAAGAAACGGAAAACTGGGCCCTCTGAAGACCCTCAGAAGTTTCATAACAGTAACAAGAGGCAATTCAATCATAATGTAATATTAAAATGGCTCTCTTAATATTATTAATCAAAATGGGCATGAAAATTAAAAATGTAAAACAGGAAATACATTAGGACCATTGTTATTGTTTACATCCCTCAAAATGGTCTATATTTGAGCACTATGAATAAATTACATTAAATCAAACTATGGCTCTAATGTGGTTATACCTGCGTAGAGGCGCATTCTCCTCAATATCCTCAAGAGTCTCCAGTGAAGAACGCTGGGATATTAGTCTCCGCCTGCAAGTGAACAAACAGTAGATTGTGTTATGGGCAGTTCCAGCGTTATGGATGTGACATTTGCAGTAAAATCTCAAAACACAACATAAATATAAATAAATAAATCGCATAGAAAGTGTATATGTTAACATTATATTAAAACATCCGTTTCCAAAACTACCAACCACAGAGTTACAGGCTCAGAAAAATATCAATCCGTAAACATTTTTTATACTTTAAATAAGGAAAATAAAGATGCGTTATGGATGTGACGAAAAAAGTTTACAGTATACAACATATACTTTGTAGAAATTCTGTGAATTAAACTGCACAACCCAAAAGAAACAAAGCTAACTCCAATGTTCTGCAAGACCACATATCGGAAGTAGATGTGTGTACTTTTCTACATGTTCATATATATACACACACACACACACACACACACACACACACACACACACACACATATATATATATATATATATATATATATATATATATATATATATATATATATATATATATATATATATATATATATATATATATATATATACACATACATACATATATATATACATACATACATACACATACATATACATATACATATATACATATGTATATATATACATATATATATATTTTGCCATGCAAAGATCAGACCTCTTTGTGCAGTGAAATCGGCCGTTCACATATCGCATCCTTTCCACGCACAAGTTATTTCCAATAGAGATGCGCGCCTATTCCAGGCGCATGCAGTTAAAAACATGTCAGCTTTTCAAAGTGCCACCACAAGTCATGTAAGTTAACAAAAACGGACAGATCAGCTTTATACTTTGTATGGAAAATGCACATTTCAGCAACCTCAGACAAACACCCAAACACTCTGTGCTTTTTGATTTTCTCCTATAATATAACTCGAATAAGAGATGCAGCTATGTTTTGTTAGTTTGTCTTCCTCTGAGGTCAAAGGTTGATGCTCACCTAGCAATGACAAAGACGTGCAAGCGCACATCACATTGAATATGATCCCATACTAAAGATGTTGAGTTTTTGGGGCACCAAGTCTTCCAACTCATAATCCCTGTTTAAGCAGGCTATTTGTCATTAATGGGCACCTATTTAAACCCTTTTTAAAGATTTAAGATTTTTGTGTCTCCAGAATGTGCCTGTAAAGTTCCAGCTCAAAACACCCATCAGATAATTTATGAGACGTTTCAGAATGATAGATTTTCTGCTCTAAACAGAATGTAGCTGTTTTGGTTGCCTTTGCCTTTAATGCTAGTTCTCCCTGCCCACCATCCCCACGTGCCTGTCAGTGTGCCTAAATCTTCCCCTCGGCTGAGCCAGATAAACAGCACAGTCACAGACATGAAGGAAGCAGATCTCAAGTAATGTTTGTGAGAAATACTACAGTAAGAACTTTCCCAATGATTATTTGATGTATTTGTTGTGGAGTTGCAACGATGAGTCACACACAGCTCGAGCATTTATCTTTGCACTGTTTTTGCATGCAAATATGACAGGATGCAGTTTAATATCCACTGCTGTATGGATATCTGTTATGTTAATGTACAAAATAAACCTGATTCAATGTCCACAAACCGGGACTGAAGCATTAAAGTCTTTTATAATTGTACTGACATGCGGCTGTGCTGATGAAGATGGTAAAATTGATGTAATTCATTACAAACATGCACAGTTTAAAGACGTTTTAAACTTGTAAATCTCATTCTTGATCACATTTGATGATGACTGATGATCACAGAGAGCTCAACAGATCTTTTAATCCGGGTTGCTTTGCGCACGTCCTGTCTTGTGGATAAGATTATACCCATTATTAAGGAGGCATGTTAATACGCGGCTGTCAATCAAATATGTGGGTGGGGAAACCACACTCCTATGTCATGCTGTGGTCGGCCTCAAAATTGAAGGGATTTGGATCCTATTTTAACATCAGGAATTAAAAAAAAAAAAGAGACTCATTGTGTTTATTTCACTCCAATATGACCACACTATACCTACACACAGTTCTGTCCAAACAGCTTACAAAAGATGATTTTCATCATTGGTGCACCTTAAGCTCAGTCTCCTGTTCTTGTGCTCTGTTTAGGTGCGCTGCGTTGTGATTGGTTTAAATAGCAAACTGCAGGAGAAGCATCAGTCGAGACTGTAGTGTGCAAAAAAATCGTTCTGTAAGGCGAATTAGAAATCGTCTATGTTCAAATCGCAATTTCCATACTATTTCAATTAAATCGCACGGCCCTACTGTATGTCTTTGCACTGTGGGGGATAACGGAGCACCCAGAGAAAACCCATGCCAACAGGGGGAGAACATGCAAACTCCTCACTGAAATGCCAACTGGCTCAGAAGACTTGAACCAGTGACCTTGTTGTGAGGTGACAATGCTAACCACTGTGCCACCCACAATCCATATAATACGCATAAAATTTACTGAGGCTAAAGACTCAAGACAAGCCAAAATTCTTAAGATTTGAGAATGTTGCGAGCAGGGATCGAATCTGCATGGTTGCTCGAAAAAAAAAATGTCTCAACGGTTAATCATTTCACTACAGTTGTTGCAACACAAGAGGCTTATGTACAAAAAAAGGCAACTGCAGCATTTCACACATCACCTTTGGAGTCACACAAATAAGCAACTTATTACGAAATTAGCATGTTGCCAAAGAAAGCGCAACACACTGCGAGGCTTTAGAGCATTACTCCAAATCCAGGTTAAAGTTTCCCACCAATACCAAACCTGCGGCAGCAGAAATGTTCCGCTTTTTGCCATTTTCCTGATGTAATATGAGCTCACACACACAGAATGTTCCAGAAACAAGCCCCTGTAAGAGGATAAGTCACGGCGCAGATTTCACTTACACAAAACACATTCCTTCTCACAGGCGGAGGTAATGAGCAACATCTAATAGTCCGCTGATAAGCTACAACACACCAGGGAGACGAGAGAAAAAGCCTCATAAGCAACACTTGTTTCTATTTCTAGACATTATCATAAGCTGTTTTTCTTTTGAGCTCACGCCGTTCTTCATATTTGCTTTTCAAGAGCAGATAGCAGCACTGTAAAAACCAGGTCAGGCATGGCCTTCTGCAAAGACCTCTATCTGTACGAACGTGGGCTGAAAAATGCGAGCGTTCCTGCCAAATAAGCTCTGAAATCAGACCAGTAGCAGACACCTGATTTGAGTGTGAGCACTGCAGAAGTACACTGAACGTGGTGCCTAATCATGCTCATTCATTCTTCCATTAACCTTCACATTTCTAAAACAGAAGAGACAAACAGAAATGTCATCAGCTTCTGGTTTCTTATTGGAGAGTGAAAGTCTGCTAGAGTTTTTGCTACAATGCCGTTCAAACGTTTAGTGTTGGTGTTATTTTTTTTTTATTTTAGCACACGTCTCTCTACTCAAAACGAAGCATTATTTGATAAAAGATCAAGCTTCGCATTAAAGGGTGGTCCACTACGATATCATGTTTTAAACTTTAGTGGATGTTTAATGTATCTGTGTGAACATAAACATCATTTCTGAAGGTAAGACGCTCAAAGTTCATAGCAAAGGCAGACATTGGCTTTTACAGAGTTAGCTTAGCAAAGCCTACGATGTTTGGGGACTACAATAAAACACATCCAGGTTAATAAGATCAAAAAACACTTCAGGTTATACGCATAAACCCCACGCAGCGAAGGGGTGTGGCCAGAGGCGTTGTAATGTTATAGCAAAGAAAGCTAAAATGTCATCCAAACGCTGCTATTTCCACAGAGGTTCTTCTGTTCATGTATTTGGGTTTCCAAAGGACCCGACGCAAAGAGAGAAGTGCTCACAGTTCAATATTAATTATTCATTCATTCATTTTCTTTTCGGCTTAGTCCCTTTATTAAACCGAGGCCATAGCGGAATGAACCACCAACTTATCCAGCATATCTTATACGCAGAGGATGCCCTTCCAGCTGCAACCCATCTCTAGGAAACATCCATACACACTCATTCACACTCAAACACTACGGACAATTTAGCCAACCCAATTCACCTGTACCGCATGTCTTTGGACTGTGTGGGAGTACCAAGAGGAAACCCATGTGAACATGGGGAGAACATGCAAACTCCACACAGAAACGCCAACTAAACCAGCCGAGGCTCGAACCAGAGACCTTCTTGCTGTAAGGTGACAGCACTACCTACTGTGCCACCGCGTCTCCAAATTTTAATTATGTTCCAGAGAATTATTAAAAAAAAGATATAGATCTAGCATTCGACAAAAGACAGCTTTCAGAATCTCTCCCAGTTAAGTGCTGGATTCGGCTAAAACCTCCTCAAAGGAGAAACATTTCCAACCGCAACCTGTAAGTATGTTTGTTTGTTAAAATTGATCTGTTACATGATAGTTTCTAGCGTTGACGATATGTTTTAGCGAGGACATAAACAAAGATGTAAACAACGGGAAATGCTGTTTGGCACCGATAACAATTTAGCTGCAACTTCTTATTTAATCACCCACAATTTTCAGCAGTGCTGCAGTGTCTCCATGCGGCCACTTTACACATCTTAAAAACTAAACTCAGCAGGGTCTGTCATGGCTTTGGATCCCCTAGAAACATTTCCGTTGTGCTACGTGGATATTTGCAAGTGTTGTGACCAATTTGCAACACGTGTGCTGTCAAATTGCTGAAGATCTTTTTTTTTTATTTGCTGGTGTTTTGTGTATTTGCATGTGTTTTCTTAAATTGCAGTGCATTAGGCTCTCTCAGCTATTGTACTGTTGATATTTGGCACCAGTTAATCAGGAAGAGACTATATTGTTCTCTTGGACTCATTGTATTGAAACGCTGCTTTATTTGCACGTCTTTTATGCGATATTCCAGTTTTGTGCATAATTTTAATTCACATCATTGAATGGAAACAGAACTATTGGGAAAAGCTTTTTGCATTGATGATATATTTGGCAGACGGGTCCTAAAGAAGAACGTGCAGTGATTTCAAACTTAATACAGAAATAT